TTCAGCCGCTGCTGAAACTGACCAGCAGCTGACTACAGGAAGCCCGAGGCAGAGTTGCTCTGCCCCAAACTTCCTGGAATCAGCCGCTGATCAGTTTCAGCAGCAGCTGACTTGGGGACACCTGGGTTTCTTAAGTTGAATCTGTATGTAAGTCTGAACTGGCGTCCAGATTCAGCCGCGGTTGAAACTGATCAGTTTCAGCAGTGGCTGACGCCAGTTCCGACTTACATAAAGATTCAACTTAAGAACAAACCTACAGTCCCTATCTTGTATGATGTACGTAACCCGGGGACTGCCTGTACATCAATTCATTAACTGGTGCAATAGAAACTGATTTCAAATGGGAGTGGAGGGTCAACTGGGTGTTTTAGAAAAGTCACAACTCAAACATGTATTTGAGAATAGCAAAGTGATTCCCCAGGAGCAGGGGTGGATTAACAAACAAACAACCAGCAGCCAGCCAGAGTTAGTCCTTGGTGGACCACCGCCCCCATATTTGCCTCTTCAGGTATCGGGTGATTACAGCTCTCGTTGCCGTGAATGGTGATCCGTCACCAATTGGAGCAGCGAGAAGTGGTGCAACCTAGGACACCGTTTCCCGCCACCAACAGCAATCAATGGGCAACGAGAGCTGAGGTCACCCGATACCTGTAGAGGCACAGGTAAATATAAATTTAGGAGCCTGCCGGGACTAACCCTCTGGATTGGATCTAGACCATGGGCCGGAATTTGCCCACTCTTAACCAATAGCATTTAGGCTACGTCTACACAGCAGAGTGATTTCGGGATACTTCCAGTATTCCTAAATAGCTATCCGCATCTTTAAACATGCCCATTATTTCGATTCCACGAGGGTTAAGGGATTTGTTGAAATAGCACTCTATTTCGAAATTTGGCATGGGGTAGACTGCGCCAAATTTTGAAATAAGCCATTTCAAGGTAAGTGCGGTGTAGACACACCCTTCGAGAGCAACTGAAACCTCGGGATAAAAACTGGATTCTTGAACTGGTAACAACTTCAACCCTTTGACGACACCGTTCTTCTATCACTCAGTAACATTACAACCAGATCAGAAGCAGTGCCGACAGGCTCTGAAGCAAGTCACAAGCATTATTTGGAGAACAGTGTTCTCTTTTCTCCTCCTGGGAATACCAACCCAAATGAAGTATCCTCACTTATCCCTTTTCCCCTACCTCCTTATTTCTGTTTTACTAAAAAGGATCCTTCCAGTGCTGCTTCTGCCACATTCATTTGCTTTCCTCACATAAGAGCTCAAGGCATAACTCTACAGAAGTCTATGGGGCTTCCCAAGCACAGAAGCATCCCAGCACCACAAAACGCAGCGATTGGCCTTTGACATTCACAATCTCTATAGCATGCATGCAACACCAAGATGACAGACACAATGCTCCTATCAGCAGTAAGTCGAGCATTGCATTCAGCTAAAGTACCAGAAAAGCAACTGAGCAGAAGAGAAAAAGGAAGGGTCAGCTCAGAAAGGAGAGTGGAACAGGCAAAGGAATAAGGATGGTATTAAAACAAAGAAGATGTGGTGGTACTAAGGCATTTAAAAACCTGACAAAGGGACACAGTTGCGTTCCACAGGCCCCAAAAGGGAATTTCCTCTCTCATGTCCAATTCTATTTTTCAATAGCATCCAATAATAAAAAGGCCCAGGGAAGCTACAAAACTTAATTCCCTTTACAAGTCTGATACCTAAAAGCTGGGCTATTCAACTTCGGAAGCCACAATGATACTCATAGAGGGCCGCAACTCAAGTGTGGTTGCATATGCATGCAAATAACTTCTTTCACAAGGACAGGAATGAATACAAAGATTAAGGCAAGACTACACAACACACAGGCCCCATTTAAGTAAGTTCTGCTGATATTAATTCAATGCAACATTTACCCAATTTCTACCCATATGACAGCACTTTTAATGAGCAATGACAGTCCAGGAATTTAACTACTAAACCACATATCAGCGGAAGACCATTATATGGACTACTATTTTGTTTCGTCTCCCACCTGCAGGCTGTGTGTTGAGCCCCACATAAACTGAAACTGTACCATGGGCTGCAAACAGGCTGCGGGCCATGTTGATTAGCCCTGCTTAAAAGAGAAGTCTAAACAAAGACATTGGCTGGATGGTCTGCCACAGTCCATATCCTAATGACATTTTTTAAAAAACCAAATAAAGGGAACTTACAGTGGGTACTAAGTGCTCATCAGCGTCATTTAGCATAGACAATGACAATTTCTCCCCCCCCCCTTTTCCCCTTCTCTGTGCTCCATGCCCTCTCTGTGCAATTTATTTGAAAACTGGACCCTTTAAACTTCTTTCATCTGAAGAAGTGGGTTGTGCCTACGAAACTTCATGATACCATCTATATGTTTTGTTAATCTCTAGGGTACTGCAACACTATTCTTTGTTTTTTAAGTTTTTCTAGTTAGACTAACATGGAAACTTTTGAACAAGGCCCCAAAAAAATTCCTAATGTACCAGCTCCAGGCTGGGCACCTCAACAACTGCACCAGGTTTCTCAATCTCCTGTAAAACACAAAAGTGTACCTTTAGCCTCTGAGCAATGTTCCCTGTAAGTGGTGCACTTGTGTTGCTCAGAAGAGATTCAGATGCCACCCAGCTGATTAGTGATGGGCACGCTATTAGGTTGTATGTGTTTACTGGTGGTGCACATTCACACATGTCTCAGCTAACAAAAACGTATTCCACACATGCACGGAAATCTACACACAGATGGAAGAAATTAGAGGGAATGTTGCCTTTGGATGCAGCAAAGCACCCAGCATTCCCATTATTGCCTCTGATCACCCCTTCTTAAGATAGCAACATTAGCATAGGACCTAATGCATACAAGGTGTAAAACAAAGATTAGGGAGAAAAGGGAAGCAGTTCATCAGGAACCTGGACTCTGATAGGAAACTCAACAGGGGAAACAAAGCATAAGCCTAAAAGGGGAAAAGTGGCTGAAGAGACAAAAGCAAATTCTCATTACCTGTCAAAAGGGGCTGGAAAGTGGGAATCTCTTGCAATTTTATCACATCGGGATCATTGCTTATGTTCCGCAAGGACTGTGTTCCTGGAGCCACCACCACGATATCGTCCATTTTAGCTCGGTGCTTGGCTGGAGAAGGGGATGCTGTGGGGAGGGAGGGGGAACCAAACATGTAAATGAATAAAAGTAAAGATAAAGGGAAAGAAAAAAAGATAGCCAACTATCATTACTGATCTGTTTCATCCTTTACCAAGAGAGCATGACTGAAGTGGACATACTCTGTCTACATTAAGGTTTTCTATAGCAACCACTACTGTAGTACCTAGATGCCCCCCAGGTAAGTGAAACGGACTGTACTGTGCTCTTCTACTTTCTCCAGTTATAAGAGGCTGGGCTTGATAGACATAGATCACACACACAGTTTTGTATCACAGTCAAAATTATTCCAGGTTTTTTTAAGTCAACGGCATGCTGAACAAAGACTATTTATTGCTTTCCAATAACTCAATCTACTTATATTGTAAGGAACTGCTGCAGGCCATTTAAAACCTTCATGTAGACTAAGGATGTAAAAAATATATACAAATATTAACTGTGTAACCGATAAAAATGTTAATGGTTACATGGTTAACCATGGGGCCCAGCCCCAAGCGGGACTTGGCGTGAAATACATCATGGGTGGGAGGCTGCTTCAGCCCTGCTGGGCACCGGTTAACGATAAGCATTACGCAGTAAGTTATATCCCTAATTTAAACCTGGAAACATTGCATTTTTTTAAATGCTAGAGCATCACCATCAACTTAAAACTTTGGACCAAGTTTAATGTTATTAAAAGCAATCCAAAGAACAACAGAAATGTTTTCATTTTTTAAACCCAAACAAGACAGTTAAAAATTTAGTTTTAAACAAGTGAACAACCCCTTGTGCTATTTGAAACTTAAAATACCACAGCCTAAAAATAAAATCTTAGAGTGGCATGAACAAAAGTGAAACCGACTTTACTAGTTTTCACTATCCAGTGAAGCATAAAAGAGTGCATATGAAACAAGCACACATGCTGACAAGTACAGCATTTTTTAATTCTTTCATTTTTAATAATCTAAAGGGCTTTATAGTAACACAAGTACAGCTTAAGGATGTTAAGTATGGGGTAACGGTCTAATCAAATTGCTGATGTAAAATTCCTAGTGGGGGAGTCCCCAGCTGATACCGTGCACCACACCTCCTGCAGCCTCCGGACACCCCAGCTGGCCCCAGGCTTCAAGTGGTGCTGCACTTTCAAGTACCCCCTCTATAGAATAGAGGCAGCAAGGAGAGGGGTGACAAGTCAACTGACCTTAACACAGATATTTTTGACACCACATGATTTTGAAGGTGACGCTGTCCCATTGCATATAAGGCTTTTTTTAAAACAAAAATCCTCAAAACATGTCCCGCTCACGTCACTTTCTGGATTTCACTGGGCATATACAGTGTTGCAGCTATTTGTTGTAATGTAATGTCATTACACATTGCAATGAAAGTTTGATAAAAACCAACTCTGCTCAAGTTTCTCCCAACATTTTCCTCCAGGAGTCTTAGGTGAGGCTGGAGTTTCTCCACCACCCTCCCACGGCCAGGCGAGCAGTGTGCAGCAGAGGCAGCAAGCTGAAATGTGCCAACAAGACACTGTCCCCTCACCAGTTTTGTCTTTTGCAGCAGGACTGGAACACTGGTCCGACCATCAAGGCTCGGAGCAACAGCGCTGCTGCCCTTCCCATCGCCCAGGCCTCGCCAACAGCTTAGTAGCCTCCTGCCCGCCTCCACCCACCCATCCCTCCCTCCCTACGGCTCCACCATCAAACGCTGGTTTCCTTGGCTACAGAGCGTGGCCCCTTGCCCGGCTGTCATGTCGGGGCCCTCCTCACGCACGTGTGCACGGCGGGGCGCTGTCACTTCAGGCTCGCGCAGCGCACCCCGCTCACACAGGGCTCCCTCAGCCACCTCCCCGGCCATTCACAAGCGTCCCAGCAGCCCGCCGCGCCCCCCCGCTCCCCCCAGCC